AGTGGCGGAAATCGAAAATATCGCAGTTTGAACAACGGACAAACATCAAGTTCTGCCAGAAAGTAGGCAAATCCCCTAGCGAAACATTTGGCATAGGAAGAATTGGCTGTTGCTACACGACAACGCCCCTGCACATCGCTTCTTGTCCAAGAGGAACTGGCAAGGCAACAGGTCACCGTTTTGCCGCAACCTCCGTACTCACCTGATCTCGCACCGTGCGATTTCTTTCTCTTTCACCGCTTGAAAGCAAAGCTACGTGGTCGTAGATTTCAGTCGTCAATGCCACAAGAGATGCCATACGGGAATTTCCCGCCAGTATGTTTCAGGAATGTTTACGGCAGCTATATCAATGTTGGCAGACTAGCATAGCGGCCAACGGCAACTATTTTGAGGGTTGATGTGGATAAGCGTAAGTGTATATATGAATACCTTGTAATATGATACGATAAAAACCACAGTCCACGAAATTAATGACTGTACCATGTATAAATCTTCTGATATTTGGTGCCCCCGTTGAGATTTGAACTGGATATATCCTGAATAAAAGTTGGACTCATTATTGCCAAGCCAAATTGATGAGCTTATTGATATGTACAGATGTGTGGGAAGACAAATGGTTCATTTTAGTGTTGAATGTCAAGACTCCTGAAGGTGTGGATTCCCCCCATCAGTACACCACACACTTGTTGAATGGCAGCAATAGTCTTAACCTGTTGGGTCATTGCGTTTAACCTCGGAGGGTTAAATGCTGACTGGTTAACCACGACAATAAAACGGAGAGATTTCTTTCCGTGAAACCACAGACGTTTCACGTGTAGCCATGAGACTGAAATGTGTCATGTCATACGTACATTCATGTGGCATTGTTGTAGGTTATATTTGGATATGAAACTGTAAGACTTACAAGAATATTAATGAGATGGGCAGGACATATAGCACACATGGGAAAGAAGATCATGCAGGGGTTTGGTGGGAGAATCTTGGTTTGATTCCAAATACGTGTATATCTCACACAATAAATATTGTTCAGTGTAATATTTGTGTAATTATTCAGACATTGCCATGGGTTTTTAGAGAAATATTGTAAATCTATGTTTAAACCTGTAAGAAAAGTTTTTGGAGAGTGTTTGAAAGTTGACCGCCTTGTTCCTAGTTCAGTAGGACATGAAAACTTTGTTTCTTACTCTGGTAATTTAGGTGTTGATATACGTGTATGTTTAATCGGCTGAGTCCTATTGATCTACGCTGCTTTCTCCACAGAATACCTCGAGTTAAATCCTTTCATATTTTTCCTAAAGCCTTCTCCTTTCTTTGTGTCTCTGTGAAGTCAGAACTTTGTGAATGTGAGGCCTCCCATGTTGAGTGTGTCCCTTGTCATTTGTCTCCAGGTTTAGTTTGATGATTGTGAATGGAGGAGATGGTTTCCAGATATGGAGGGTAGTTGTGGATACCCAAGAATGGGCAGCTTTCCAGCTTTGTGATTGGGTGAATGAATGGGCACCACCAGGAATTTTTCTGAGGCGAGGCATCAGTTTTCCAAGGGCAGCTAGAAAATTTACTTACAAAGTTATGTTTAGGACTAATTTTACTGAATCTCCTAGGGTATTCAAGATAGGATATTTTTTTTAGTATTTTAACTTATGGTGTTACTATTTGAGTGAGTTTTTTTAATTTCCATTTTTTCTCAAAAAATTTTTGGGGGTGGGGCAGTTGCCTTCCTTATCCTAGTGGCATCACATTTGAGAAGACCTTAATCTTAAAGTTTCAGAAATATCAAACTATCTGATCATGTGAGCCCACTTCACACTATTTGAAACCTGATGCTATGTAGCATGTAATTTTGCTTGATTCATACTAGCTGTGACAGTTTTTCGTTGAGTAATGGAGCCTTGCGATGATATCTCTGGTGTCAGCAGGTTATATGATCGCCCGGCCATGCACATAATGAACGACTCCTGACATTAACTGTCATACTGCATTAACTCAAACCACAGGCAATATAGTATGGTGTTTCTTTACTGTTTACTTTGTGTGTAGAATGGGATTGTGTTTCTGGCAGTCATTCTGAGGACAAAGTAGCACCAAGCAGGTTTAAATCAGGGTAGATGCCTTCCTTTTATTCTGATAACACCTGGTTCAGGACTTGCCAAGTGATCAGCTGGTTACAGCCTTGTTTTATTTAGCAAAGCTTTTTCAGAAGTATGGATTATGTAGCATTGGTTGGTAGAATTACTGTGAATTATGAATTGGAAAAGTTGTATAAATAAGTTTTCATGGCATATTTTGTAAGGTTCTATACTAGCATTGGTCCAGAAGGACTAAGGACAACTATGAGAATCATCTGTTAGGATAGTCAGTCTGCACTCTGAGATTCGAAGCTGGGACCTTCTGAATGAAAGGAGGCCTGGTAACCACTAGCATTTTCTTTAGCACTAGAAGAATTCTGCATTTTTCCCACTGAATTTACGTATAGGCTTTACATAATGTCCAGATTAAACATCCGTTATACCCCTTAAAAAATGTTAACTGATTGGTCTTTATAATAGAGATGCAGTATGTTTTCAATGAGGTAGGACATGTGTCTTTAAATTTTATTTAGAAGAATTTTATGATTTAGAGAGTTGATTTATCTCAACAGCAGCACAGTAATACTGTATGCTGAGGTTATTTTAGAATTTTTAAAAATAATACGGAAATGTTATTATGTTAAGAAAATGATCCTTAACCCTGTTGTTTAGACATGTGACTGAAGTCAGACAAGCATCCTTTACCAAAGAGTGTGACACTCAAATTTAGTCCACATCAGGAAACAGTCTTCTCCTCCCACTGTGTCAGTCACTGTCATTGAGTGGCTTATGAAAATGGATTCTGTTGTGCCTTTTCCATATTTTTACTTTGAATTTGCATTATTTTAGGAAAATGGTGAGAAAATAATATGCAACAAAAGGGTTAATTTTGTTTTTTTGTTTTTTGTTTTGCTGATGTATCATCATATACAGGGAAGGTCTGTGATGGCCATTTCAACACACGTCTTGGGGAATGTCATTTTGCTTCTGTGACATGAACTCATGTCAGCAGCAGGATGTGTGTTCTTGTTAATATGATTATGCTACTCTTGACTTGTGGTCGGTAGAATCATAAAAATGTTGTTTAATAGCAGGTCTTATGAGGAGGGGGATGTTGTAGGAGTCATAAGGAAGACAGGAATACATTGTGAAAATTTTGGGCTTTATTATCTTAGGTGTAGTGGCATGATGCAATCTGAGCTAGGCTGGAACATGCCAGCCTCAGTGGCCAGAAGATTAGCAATCAGCTGTTTGTCTGGCAGGAAGTGTTGTTACTGTTATGGAACATCCATGAGAGAAAAATACAGTAGCTAGTTAGTTGACTAAGTTCATAGAACTAAGATGTCCTTGAGAACCTGATGGTTACTCAGCTACTCAAAAAATTCCCCAGTTCATGTGGAACATGAAGGTTCATTATCCTGTTCACCAAGAGCCAGCCATTCATCCCTATCCTGAGCCTGCTGAAGCTATTTCACACTGTCTCACCCTATTTCTTTAAGATGCATTTTAATATTATTCTTACATCATCCTAGTGGTCTCTTTCTTTCAGGCTTTCCTATCAAAACTTCATATGTGCTTCTATCCCATGCCTACCTCATACTTTTTCGACTTGATCATTCTAACAATACTTGTTGAGGAGTAGAAGTTATAAAGTGTCTCATTATGAAGTTCTCTCCGTCCTTCTGGTACTTCATCCCTCTTAGGTCCAAATATTCTCCTCACGACCCTGCTCTCAAGGGGAAAGCTATGACACTACATTCAATTTTACTTGCAGAAAGGGAGAAGAATGCATCCAGAGGGTGTGAGTTCTTTGTATGAAATTTGGCGTCTTATTATCATGACCTTGATGTGTTTAGATACCTATCATCTTCATTTTCTGACATGCTAGGTCATAACAAATGATCCTGTAATTATTGGTTAGTCGTTATCTGTTTTTGCAGTCACAGACTTACTGTATCTTGCGGAAGGTTTCTTATTTTCATATATATCATGTCCTGAACTTTCCTAGTTGCACTGTCAATTTGTACAATCTTTGCTTATAATGGTTTATGTATTAACATACAGGCAGTCTTTATCTCTATCTCAGACCACTCTGTGACCTTGAGTATTCACAGATAACAGTATAACTAGTTCTTGCCACTGGTAGCAGGTACCTCTTAGCCTTAGATTAATCATATGTATTTTAATACGTGTGATCCTGATTGTGGGTCTAGGTGACCTATAACTGTACATTGACCCTGCCTGTTTGCAGACATGTGATCCTGAGTGCAGACCCAGTTCTGACCTCAGACCAACGCAGGTGACCTGTAGATGTACACTGACCATGCCTGTTTGCAGACATGTGATCCTATATGTGGGTCCAGTTCTGACCTCAGATCAGTGCAGGTGACCTGTAGCTGTACACTGACCATGCCTGTTTGCAGACATGTGATCCTGAATGCAGGCCCAGTTCTGACCTCAGACCAGTGCAGGTGACCTGTAGTTGTACACTGACCATTCCTGTTTGCAGACATGTGATCCTGAGTGCGGGCCTAGTTCTGACCTCAGACCAGTGCAGGTGACCTATAACTGTACATTGACCATGCCTGTTTAAAGACATGTGATCCTGAGTGGGGGTTCAGTTCTGACCTCAGATCAGTGCAGGTGACCTGTAGCTGTACACTGACCATGCCTGTTTGCAGACATATGATCCTGAGTGCAGACCCTGACCTCAGACCAGCACAGGTGACCTGTAGATGTACACTGACCATGCCTGTTTGCAGACATGTGATCCTGCATGTGGGTCCAGTTCTGACCTCAGATCAGTGCACGTGACCTGTAGCTGTACACTGACCATGCCTGTTTGCAGACATGTGATCCTGAGTGCGGACCCAGTTCTGACCTCAGACCAGTGCAGGTGACCTGTAGTTGTACACTGACCATGCCTGTTTGCAGACATGTGATCCTGAGTGCAGGCCCAGTTCTAACCTCAGACCAGTGGCACATCGTCTGTCTTACTCTGCACAGAGCGTGTTCTGTGTCCTTACACTCACTGCAGCAGCTGATGGTAGCATTCCGCTCTGGCTCTCACAGCTTCTATGGTGATGTGGGTCAGGTGAAAGTTGCAGCACGCAGGGACTGTACAGCAAGGGAGAGTGATCGTCTCAAACAACTGGCACAGCAGGTAAGCGGTGGTCATAGGGACCAGGTATTTTGGACAGTATAAATTGGATATTAGGAGCTTCATAATTTGGAATCTTCATTTAATTTTGTTAGGATGATTAGGTTAAGAAGGCAGATAGATAGTAATGTTGAGGGGGAACGTGCTCCTTCCATCTTCAGGGTAGAAGAGATCTTATACTACCTATCTGCCACATGTTATGGCATCACATTCTAGAAGACCATAATCATCATATTTATTGCCATGAAAATATCAGCTCTCAGAATGTAGTTGGCTAATTGCTCCGTTAGCAGAGATATTTGTTTATTTTATTAGTGGGTTATGTAACGATGTTTTCAGTAGCTGGACCTTATGGCACTGAATGTATGGATGGTAGATGAATTATATTTTTAAAGGATTTGGAAGGAAGCAGCCATGGCTTAATTAAGTTACTATCCTGGTGTTTACCTAGTGGGACTGAGGAATATCATGAAAGATCGTAGTCAGGATAACTGATGTCTCAGTGGATATTCAAACGAAGCACCTTCTCAATATGGGACAAGAGCCTTATTGTTATGCCAGTTCACTCAGTAGAAGAGATTTTGGATATCTTGTGGTAATGGGGTGATTACCTTCTCAACATTTTATTGCCCAGTGTACAGCAAAAGGTTATGCTTCTCTTTTTTTTTTTCATTGGCGCTACAGCCCTCATTTGGGCCTAGGCCTACCTCCATGAAACTCTCCGTCTGCTCCTCATTACACTCCCCAAATTTAGAATATTTCTAATGGCTCTGTTAATCTGTCAGTCAGTCATTGTATTGACTTAACACCTGTGCCAGTCCAACAAACAGTAGTGACAGGCATGGTATGGACTGTGCTTGGTTTTCAGGTATTCTTACTTGAAGGACAGCGCGATGTGTCAGGGGGGCACTGCTCCCATTCTGGCAGTGTTGGAGATGGTGGAGTGACATCAGTTGGGAGTTCAGTTGGAGAAGAGAGGAGCTATATATTCCTGCTCTACCCTCCAGACCTGAGCCATACACTGAACCCTGACCTGTTCATAGTGAGGGTGCCATTCCGCAACCTGGTAGTGGGTCTCCTGGCCCACCAGATGCTGCTGCAGACCGTGGGCAGTGTGTTGCTGCAAGGAACAGCCCACGTTATACCCAGGTCACTCCCACTTCCACTTCATTTTTGTGCTCAGCTTGGGTGGTTATGCAGGCTGGAGGTTGAATGGACAGATGTATATAGAGGGTTTGTCAGATGTGCAGACAGATAAAGAGATGTATGGCTGGGTCAGTGATCTCATACAGATGGATAAATTGACTGGTAGGATGTAGGATTGAGTGTTAGACAGTTGGAGACATGGACAGTTAGTTAGCAGATATCACATGTATGTATGAGTTTGTGACCTCACACTTGCATGCCTGTGTGTGAATATGTGTGTGTGGATGGATGAAGGAAGGAAAGGAAGATCAGTTTGCTGGACAGACAGATGTACATCGTCATCACCACCGCTGGTAACGGCCGCAAAAGAGCCCCTTCTGAGCCATAACCATCCTTAAAAGATTCTACCACATTTGCCATCCAATTTTAACTTATTTGTATTTTGCAACAATACTTTTTTTACAGAGCAAGGTCATCAGCCTTGTGTCTGACAGGTGTACGTACTGTTATATACTGTGTGTGTGTAATATATATGTATAATCCACACAATATTATATTGTACTGAATATTGACAAACTCATAGACACAACACAACCACACAGTGCTACAAAAGACTGACAATGTAAAGTAAATTGAAAAGGAGTAGATTTTACTTGAGGACGGGGACAGAATCCCGTCTCTGAAATGTTGTGTTTTGAAAAAGAAACGGGAGTTTTTTTTTTAAATATACAAGACGGTGGATAATGTCCAAAAACATAATACTTGTAGAAAAAGAGTAAGTTTTATAAAAAGTTAAACAGTTCCATCCAGTGTGACTGGTGAAGACTTCTCTTATTTCAGTTCTTCATGCCCTTACATGTTTCGGTCTTTAGAGACCATCATCACAGGGAGTAAGTTTTGTTTAATATCAAAATTCGACAAGAATTTAAATCTAGTTTTAACCAAGTTTTAACAGTGGTTTAGAACAGTGTGCTAAAAAAACAATACATTGCAGCAACTGTGTGAAATATAGCTCCCTGATGATGGTCTTGTAAGGTCAAAACATGTTGTAGAAGATGTATCTATAATATACAACAGAACAGCACACCACCAGTCTATGATTACTACATGAAGTTGAACCTTGAAGATTGCCCCTGATAATTATATCAACAGACATACCCACATATGGTTGAATTGATTGGTAGACATGTAGAAATGGATGCTTGGAGAAGAAGATTAATGGAGACTAGTTGGGTGAATGGTTTGGATAGAAGGATGAACTGCAGTATGATGGTGAGGTCACATCCATACATGCAAGTTTTGTTTATAAAATCAGTTATTGGGTTTTGATGAAATTGATATTGAGTACTTACACTAAATGTTGTAGGTAGATTAAAGTTTGATTTTATTTTATGCCCTTTGTGTAAATAACACATGAAAGGGAAATGAGTAAATATGTAATATATCCATCAGAAATATATTTCTAGGTTGCTGTAGTGAATTTTACTGTCTTTTATATTGGTCTACTGTAACCGTTACTTTATAGAAGCTGAAATCAGACTTTATCTAATTTCTGAAAAGTAACAGATTATTCCAAAAAGTGGTACATAACATGAAATTTACCTCTTATAGATCTATAACTTTTGTTAGTAACATTTATTATTATTCAGTTGGCATAATTCTGATATAAACACACCATTCATTTGCATTTACTACATGTTTTGGTCCATTGCAGCCATCATCAGGTACATAGAACTTTTAGAATCACTCTTCTTTCAATTTGGTTTAGCTCCCTACATTGGTCAGTGTTTACACATTGGGAGTGCTACCACATGGCCATTCTTTCAGACAACACACACTCCATATAAGGGTAGGCCATGGGAAGGAAAAAAGAAAACAAAAGCAACACATCAGGCACTTGCAGGCCAACATATAACCACAATATCAACTTAAGATAATGGGAAGAATCCCATGCAAAACAAGAATGCACATTGGTGAACACCACCTAAACATTTGGGAACATGAAGAAAAGGGGGGGGGAAGAAGCACATGCATGCATGCCACTTTAACACATAATTTTAATTTCAATTGGAACATTTTAATAATTTTAAAAATTTAAATTGTAGTATTTAACATTTAATACATTCTCCTAATATAGGGATATTACATAAACAGTATACCTGTACAACACACTCCCAGTGTAGGGAGGTATAGCATATAGAAGGAAGGGTGACTGTGAAAGCTCTGTGTACCAGATGATGGCCACAATAAGCTGAAACATGTAGTCCATGCAAACGCGTGGTGCGTTTATATCAAAATTATGTTGACTGAAGAATAGTAATAAACGTTATCTTGCACACAATATGATGCTACAAAGTAATATTTGAAGAAAGCAGTCTTCTGCAATTTGGCACCGTGTATGTGTGGTGTTAACCGACGTTCCTCCGAAACATCGGTTAACACCACATATACACGGTGCCAAATCCCAGAAGACTGCTTTCTTCATAGTCACCACCGTGAAAGCCTCAAATATTACAATGTAATATTTCATTTGTAACATTTTTCATATGGTTATTTGAACCACGCACTGGTGCCTGCCTACCAACCTGCGTAGTGTCACATCACAAAAAACCGTAGGTAATCTTTGTATTCACTGCTATGAGAACCTCACATCTCAAATTAGAGTCTTGCTTATTGAGGTAATTTGTTTCTCCCTCAGCTTAGCTAATGTGCTGCTTCAGAGCCCAGCATGTGCCCCTCTTGACAACTCTGGGGAGGAACAGCAGAAGCTGTCGGGCCTCATGCGCTTCATGTCACCGCTGCACATAGAGACACTTCTCTCCTGCCTTGATCTCTCTTATGAACGTGCCATAGCCTTTGACTCACGACCAGGTCTCAAGTTTCTGGTGCAGAGAGTAGCAGAACTGGAGCGAGCGGCCAACCTTTATCGTCAGGCTGGTGCAGCATGGACTATCAAGGTGGTGACGTTGTTTGATTTATGTCTTCATGAAGTTGGCCGCAGTGGTGCCACGCTGGATAAAGTGAAGAGGATCTTGGAAGATGAATCTGCTGGAAATACGAAGGTGAGATGTTGTCTTGTGAGTTGAACGACTATACACATTACCTGAATTTAACTGACTTTAATGTAATCAAGAATATAATTTTGATTTGTTACTGTCTTTCCCAAATACTTGATCTTTGCTGTGTTTTCAAAGGTTTTATTGGTTTTTATATCATGATTTTGTTCTGCACTTTGGTAATGGGACATAATTTTCTCTGCTACTGCTATTGAAATATAAGTCTGTCAGTATAGTTACAGTCACTTTAAAATGGGAGTAGTGCCAAGTCTGAAAATCTTATGCTAATTTACTGTTACAGTACTTGATCATTTTCGCATTATGGAAGATTTGAGGATCTTGTCTTGGTGACAACGAAGGTTACTATCTTCTGGGATGTGACACCATGTAGTCTTGTAGAAAATTATAAATGTTTCTCAGTGTAGAAGATTACTGTTATATTGGGTGCCCTGTTGTATTGGTGTCTCACTCGCTCGCTCACTCACTCACCTCTCTTTAATGTAACATAAAAATGTTCAGTCTCTTTTTAATTGAAAATAACATTAAAATCACATCAGTTGCCTGAAGATGACCTAGTAAGGCCGAAATGTGTAGTAATTGATGTGATTTTAATGCTATTTAAAATTAAAGAGATTGTGAACATTTTTAAGTTACATTAAATACAGAGATGAATGAGTGAATGGTAGAAGAGTACTCCTATGTTGGTAATTTTGTGCCAGACGACATGCCTTCATATGACAGAAGACATTAATAGGAACTAGCTTTGTTGATTGGGCCCCACTGAGTAAGTTTTACCTGAGGACAGAGACAAGCGTCCATTTTCCAAACCGTTGTTTGTTAAATAAAGAAACATATCAGTGGATAACATCCAAAAAGTCATTAATTTTAATAGTCTTCATATTGGATTTGAGGTTCCCATGGCAGTGAAGAATATAATCGTCTTGAGTTGTAACCTCATATTATTCAGAGAGAGCCTGACGTTTCAAAGGAACTTATCACCTCTGTCTTCAGGGTTGAAGACTTAACTGAAACCAGAAGCCAGCAGAATCAGGTGGCAAGCTCTGCTTTTAACTGCTTCATGCTGGTTTCTTGCTTGTCTTATTTTTTGACCTTGAAAATATAGACAACATGTCCTTCTGGAACATAAGTTGACCTTCAGCAGACTATATGGCGTTATACTCCAGAAAGCAGAAATCTTCAAAGTCTCTGATGGTCATCAGTTCAGGATTTCAGTTGACTGTTTCATGAGACTGATCTTGTAATAAATATTTCAGTTATCATGCATTATAAAATGGAGGTGGATTGTTGCTTGAAAGTAAGCAATACATTCTGAAGGTTCAATACTTCTAACACCAGAAGTTACCTTTAGACATGGTCCTGAGCTACTTCCAGTCACCTTACATCCTCACAACCTCTTTGCCCAAGATCCATCTTAATTTCCGTCCATCTTCTCAGTCTTCCAGATTATCACTTTCCAAGATATCTTTCTACTATAAACCTCAGATCTCTTGTGAGATCTGATGTTCAATGATGGTGATTACTGACTTCAGAATTACCTTGAAAAAGGAGGCAGCAAGGCCTTGAGAAATATTAGTGCTTTCTTAGCAGATTTCTTGACATCACACCCAGGGAGACTGCAGTCTCTGCATTGTATCGTTCTGTTTCAGGATGGTAACGCAGATAACAAGCCAGACTCAGGTGAAAAAAATATGAATGATTCAGGGACAGTCAACTCAATCAAATTTGCACTTCATGAAGGGATTATGCGAAGCCATGAATCTCCAATTAGCAGTAGTTGTAATGAGTATGGAGACATGGCTACATTCCTGTATCGCCTGCGGGCAAGTTTTGACCAGTTGTGTGAGACTTACGTTGATGTAATTCTCGATAAAGATGGACAGCATTCTGCAGTTGATCGTATTGCTGACCAACCCATCTTTTTCCTTATCGCCCAACCTAATGACTTCCCAGAGATTCGACGTAAGGAATCTCTCCCCCGTGCCTCTGTTACATCCACCACCACTAATATCTCTTCAGAGGAGAAGAAAGAACTTCCACCCATGATGGAAACCCGCAGTTCACATGGTAATATTGCCTTGTGTCAGGATGCATTGGAAGGTGAGAAATCGAATGTAAATTCAGGGGATCCTACTTGTGAAGCCATACAAGATGATCTTAGAAGTGATGGAAATATATCTGTAATGACGGAGAGAGAATTGCCTGTTGATTCAGGTGACGAAGATGTTTTTGAAGAGCCAACAGAAATGAAAGATGATAAAACATCTGCTCGCCCATTTGTCTTGGCGGATTTTGCCCGAGAGCCTCTCTATTCAACAAGTGATAGTGAAACAGACATGAGGGTCGAGAATGCACCAGAAAAAGATCATTCTGGTGATGATGGTGATGTAAAGGAAGATGCCGTTTACAACGTGGCAGGTGAGAAGGATGTAGCTAGTTTAATGGGGGAATACAAGAAGCGTAAGCAGACGAGATCAATGCCACTGAGGAAGAATCCGTTCTGTTCGTCTAGAATGGATTCTCCTCCATTGGGCCCCCCACTTCCAAGTCAGCCAGTGCCACCTGAGATTGAGCAGCAGCGGCGCAACAGCTTATACAGGGTGAGTCACTTCTCAATAATACTTGATATTCTACTCATGTAAGTTTTCACCAGTCATATTCTTTGCTGTTAAATAAAAAATAACGTATGAACTGAAATCCAGTGGTTCATGTATGTATTGGGCCACATAGACCATACTGATTTTCACTCTTTGCTAATTGGGCAATTCACTGTGTACAATAAAACAGCCATAAAAGCGATAACAATTTATTTTAAAATTATGCTAACTCAAGGATATGCTGTTGAATACATTGGACACCTTTATTTTAGGAAATGAATAGAATTTGAATGGAAAAGTTCTTTGATGTTCCATAACAGAATGGGTATGTGATTGTCATAAACTTTGCTATATTAAAGAAGGCTTATAAATTGAAGGTTTGTATGCAGTATCTGTAACAAGTAAAGCCAGAATGTGAAGATTTGTGTCTCTTGGGATGTGATGCCATGTAGCTTGGTGGATAGGTGAGAAATTGAATGTAAATTCAGTGGATCGTACTGGTGAAGCCATACAAGATGATCTTAGAAGTGATGGAAATATATCTGTAATGACAGAGAGAGAATTTATTCAGGTGATGAAGATATTTTTGAAGAGGCAACAGAAATGAAAGATGATAAAACATCTGCTCGCCCATTTGTCTTGGCAGATTTTGCCCAAGAGCCTCTCTCCTCAACAAGTGATAGTGAAACAGACATGAGGGTCGAGAATGCACCACAAAAAGATCATTCTGGAGGAACCTCCTGCTTGATCTGAAGGGTACAGAGGCTTTTGTACCCTGAAGAAGGAGGCAGCAGGTCCATCGAAAATGCTGGTAACTGTCTAACAGGCTAGATGGCATCACTTCCTAGAACACTGTTAGCTTGATACTCGCTACTATGAAAATCTTGCTCTCAAATAAGCATAAACTTTGTTTGGACTCTACCCTGTTTATATGAAACCTTTGAATTTTGTAGTTAGTCCAGGTAGAGAAACAAAGGCTAACAGCTTAATACCGAAAGCTCTTCACTGCATTACACTTCTGATAGCATGAAGTGTAAAGGACTCGGATATGAGGCTGTGAATAGGATTCACCTGACTGAGGATAGGGATTAGTAGTGGGCTCTTAAGAACACAGTAAAACTCTATGGGTTTCATAAAAGTAGGAAACTTTTTAGGTAGCCAAGTGACTGTTAACTTCTCATGAAGGACAGTTCCATTCAAGTTAGAGAACATTGTTATTGATAAGTTTGCCACAGTAGACATCCAGGGGCCACCATTTCTACATGTGTTAAAATTTCATTTTATATTGTCCAGTCTCTGGGGCACACAGTAGTGTAAGTTGGTTGAGGCACTGTGCTACAAGCTGGAAGGTTGCTGGTTTGATTCCTAATGAGGTCATTTCATTTTTCAATTGACCTAATCCTGCCGCACTATGGCCCTGCGGTTGACTCAGCCTCTAACAGAGAAGAATACCAGAAATTTTCCTGGGGGTGGAGGGTGGCTGGCATGTAAGGCTGAGAACCTTACCGCCATCTGTGTCCAATTGTGTAGAAAATGTTGGAGCCTCAACGTCCCACAACCCTATGGGCCTCCACGGTCTATTACAAAAGTAGCTTTACCTTCTTGTTCAGCCTCTTTCATCATACTTTTTGTTTTTAATTATCTCAGATTTTGTTATTTCTCATTCTATTTCAATGAAATTCAAAACTTTGATCTTAGAGATATTAAAATAAATAGTAGTTTCTCCTTGTTTTCGGTTCTATAAAACCCATATTTTGTTGCATCCAGTATTTTGTATGAAATAAAATATCTACTTATGGACATCGGTTTGTCAGTGCCTATAAATTATTTCAATCTAAGAAGGTAATTTGAACAAATTGAAATGGTGAATTAAGAGGGGAGCCAGTGGGAACTGCTGTTGCAGGTCACTGTCAAGGTACTTCATTCAGGTGTCACAGGGCTATCAATCAGAAGCCAAGTGAGCTGTTCCTTAGTGAGGGGCACACAATGACCTGCAACATCTCCATCAACACACTACCTCCTGCCGGCTCTAAGGCATATAAGCACTGGAACAAATACCGTAGCCTTCAAGCAGTGTTGCCAACTTAATGATGCTTTATGCTTTCAGTTTTATTTTAGCTAGAAACAAAAATGATGCAACACTGCCCCTCTTTCTCTTGCATCTGAACCTCATGTTATGGAAGTCTAACAAATTATTTGATTCAAATGAAATGAGTTTTATTAGATTTCCCCATTCCTGTGGATATTACCATATTAAAATGGTGATTTTGATGATGGTGATTTGGGAGATAAATATGATTTTCTGTGTAATGATAAGCTGTCTTGCTTTGTATTCAGGAGGTATTTGGTTTGAATCTCAGCAGGGATTAATTGACTGATTTTTAATGATGCTGTTACTGCATGGGTTACATAACAGTGGGTGAGCTGGAAAGATGATCAAAGTTAGGTGATCAGGAAAGGATTTGTAAGATGTCAGTTATATTCTAGACCAGTCTGGGAATCTGGGCCACCTACCTCCTATATGATGAATAGTGTGGGCTGTTTTCTCGGTGTAAATGTGTTGGGATATGAAGCTGGTACCTATCTTCAGGTTAAGCGGAGGCTCAGTACCCTTGTATCTTCACATTTTCATTGTCTGTGAGCGTCTATAGCCTGGTGTTTAGACAAGCTTAACTCTTTCCTTTGGTTTCTCATCCCCTGACCGCCTCTGCGGTGTAGTGGTCAGAGTTCCTGGCTACAGATCCAGAGGCTTGGGTTCGATTCCTGTCACTACCAGATTTTCTGAGAAGTAGTGGGTCTGGAACAGGATCCCCTCAGCTTCGTGAGGATAATTGAGCAGCTGTTTCAAGGAAATAGCGGCTCCGGTCTAGAAAACCGAAATTAATGGCCATGGGGATTCGTTGCACTGACCACATGACACCCTCTATCCACTAAAGTTGGCACTAACTTCGCCGACAAGCGGCGGTAGCTCGGTTGGTATAGTTCGCTTGCAGACTAAGAAAACCAGAGTTTGCTTGTTTTTTTTTGTTCTCATCCCTTACTCCTGTCCCAGTTGTCACTCTGTTGGAGGTTACAAGTTCCTGCTGGGATGAAAATTACTTAACTGTCACTACCTGTTGTAGTCTTAAATCATCAGCCTTTATCTTGACATGGAAATGTTGCTGGCAACATGACTACTTTATGTTGTCTAATTGCTTGTGAATGCAACACTGTAAAGACTGTGTATTTTATTGGCTTGTTTGTAATGAAGAATTACAAAATAGTACCTTTTTGCTTTGCTATGTCTATAGGTCTGCAGTTAGCAACTGAAAGACTACTGTGTGGATTTTTATGAAATTTGATATTAGGAATGTTTGCTGAATTTTGTGGTTGTATTTCAGTTTGAATTAAAATTTGGCAATGATAATGGGCATTATGTGTGAAGACCTACATGCCATACATTTTTGATTGGATCTCAAGTCTAACTCACAAAATATTTATTGAAACAAAAGATGTTTCAGATAAAAGCTGTATAATAAATAAAACATGTTTTGTGATCAGTACTCTTATTGTGTGTCAATTGGTTTATGATCTATTGAACAGAATGGAGTGGATGTACAAAAATTGTTACTCTGCATACGTTTCCTAACTTTGGGGAGTGGGGGGGGGGTATTCCCATGTTCTGGAACCTAAGTTTACAGTATACAAAGCTATAATTTTACCTTTTGTTTTACAAAATTGTGAAACTTGCTGTCTCCTTCTAAGAGAAGAAAATTGAGTGAAGGTGTTTTAAACACGGGGTTCTCAGGAGAATGTTTGAGTGTAAGATACAGAATGTAATAGGCTGTGATTGCACTCTTCATCTACTGTTAGGATGGTTAAACCTGAGAGCATGTAATGGGAGGGACATGCAGCATGAAAGGGGGAAATGAGAAATTCATACAGTATTTTGTTTATAAAGCTTCAAAAAGGGATACCATGTAGAAGATCTGGACTGAATGGGGCGCCTAGTATTGAAATATATATTGGAGAAAAAGAAACTTTGTAAACACAAAAATGAACCTTTGGGATCTATATAAACTGGGAATTTGTTGACAGATGAATAACTCTCATACACTGAAAGGTTGTCTATGCACCATGGAGTCAGTAACTCATTGCATTTCTTACTGTTTTTTTTTTAGAGAGAAAGTACTGATTCTGATATTCTGAACAGTGGTCATTTTCATGAGTGTTGGTAACAGAGATTCCTACTTGCATTTTTATTTTTCTTATTTTCTTGTTTTTTTTCCCCTTCAAATCTCTTTGCTTCTAGGGCTTTCGTGTAGTGCCACATTTGACCCATATGGTTGTGTGTAATATGAAATGTGTTGTGAACAGAAATATTTTTAGTGTAATGGCCATTAGTTTTAGAATGGTGAAACTTGTTTTTTTTTTGAAAAGGTATGTGGAATGGATTTATCAAAAGAGATCTTATTTGCTGATGAAAAAAATCATTGTTATTCAGTGCCCACTTTTCTTTTTCTCGCTTTCATTTTGATTTTTTCTCCCCTACCAAATATATTTTTTTAAAAGGATATGTGGAATAGGTGTTTCAGAGAGACTTCCTTTGATTGCAAAAGAATTTGTTGTTGCTTCTCATTTCCCTTTCTTTTCCTCATTTTCTATTTGATTTTTTCTCCCTTGCCAAATTTCTGTGATTCTCTATATGACACAAGACATTTTGAGTATAACTTCCTTATTTTGCAACAGTGAAACTCAAATATTTTTACATGGATTGGGACTTTCAGAAGAGGACCCCTATGTTGGTGCAAGAATCTAGTATTGGACGCGTTCTCATCAACCATTCTGCATTTCCTCATTTTCCTTCTGTCTTCCACATCTTCCACCAAATCCACTGTGTTTCTAGGGCCCTGTGTAGCTTCCAGTGATTCTTGAGGTGCCAGGAAACATTCTGAGTGTTGATGCTCAATGTTTTAGGACAGTGAAGCTCACCGCAAAGTCTGGGCTGAAATGCTTGGGTCAGTGTTTGACCTTCTTGCCCAGCTGGATGACCTGCACTTCCGAACTCTTCTTCCTGTTCTGTTCCATGGCGTTCGTCGACTAACAGCACACGCCACTGACCCAGGGCTAAAGCAGGCTGTTGCAGAATTGTTTCACAGGGTTGCTATGATGTATGGGTTCAGTCCTGAGTAATATATACTTGCATGTTCCTGTCAGTTTGTTTGTTGCTTAAGTTTCATTGTTTCAAGTTGAGACAGTGTGATAACTATTGTCAGAATTATGTTCTTGTTACTCATACTGAATGAAAAATATTACCCTTGTTATATGTTTATGATGATATGTTTTTAATGGTATAGAGTTTCCTACCATCATTAAGAGCATATCATATTATGTAACAGAACTTACTCTGATTACAGACTGGACTAGTTTGTGGTGGAGCAATTGGGAATTATTGGAAGTACAATGATTGACCTTTTGGACATTACCCATCATCCTGTTCTTATTTAAAACAATGTTTCAGAGATTGGACTGTGCCTTCTTAGTTGGGCCTAATCAGTAGCACTAGTCAGAGATGGAGATAGAGTTCCATCTCCAAAATATTATTTTAAATATAAATTAGATGATGGGTAATGTTCAAAATGTGAATCATTATATTACTATACTGTCATCACAAACTTTTAGATTTTAATTATTGGAAGGTTCACATAATGATTAAGGTACTGGGGTTAATTAATGCAGAAAGAGTTTATATGTGTGTGCACATCTCTTGATAGCACTAGAAAGAACATCAGAAGCATTGCAGTTAGCCAAATTTGATTTCTGATTAAATTAAGTTTACTTAAATTAAAGGCCCAATCTCCTATCCAATGGTTATCAGGGGCTCCTTCCCTGGGGATAAAGTGGCTGGGGCGTGAAACTGACCATTCATCTGAATCTGGTGCCAAGGTTAATATATACAGGGTTATACCTTGGTTCTCCCTCATGTCTTGGTACTTAATTAAGCACAGGGACAGCTTTGTCCTATTAATTTAAATTCAAAGTGTCTATTCTTAATTAAATTGCAGCTTGTTAATTTCAAATTGGTATTGCTGTAAAAAAGTACCAAGATGTTTAAAGAGTGTGGCATGGAATAGAGACTTGAATTTTCAAAAGCTGTTATCAGCTGCTACTGATAACTATGCCATTAGGGAGAACTTTGTCCTATTAATTTAAATTCAAAGTTTCCATTCTTAATTAAATTGCAGCCCCCAGCTTCTAACGGGCTGAAGTCCTTCAAACTAAGCCTTAAAGCTGATTCTAATGCCCAAGTATTCACATAATGTCTAAGCAGTCCCTTCTCTTTATATAAAAAATCTTATCCAGAAAGCTGTAACTTGAAGGTTCCCAGCATGGTTCCGTGTGTCCTCTAGCTCTTTTGCTCCACAAGTCAGAAGCCTGTACATTGCTGGCAGAATTTAATAGCCATTTCTGATATCGTATTCAGTCAACTTATTCATTTATGTTACTGGAGCCAATTAAGGGCTTGTCCAGTTACAGTCAGTTACATTTTAACAACTATTTTACAAGATGTTATAGTCAAGTGGCCGGTCACGGTAGCCGAGCGATCTAAGGCATGCACTGTCTTCGCTCGCTCGGAAGCCGGGATCGTGGGTTCGAATCCCACTCAGGGCATGGATGTTTGTGTGCGTTTTTCTGTGTTTGTCTACAGGTAGAGGCCTTGCGACGAGCTGATCACTCGCCCAAGGAGTCCTACCGTATGTGTAAGATTGAGAAAAACTGAAGTGAACGGAGTTCATGGAGGTAGGCCTAGGCCCACTGGGGCTGTAGTGCCAAGGAAAAAAAAATTATAGTCAAGTGGTTGGCACGCCTACTTCATATTTGGGAGATCCCATATTTAAATTTTCGCCCACAGACTATCCCGACTGAGGTTTTTCATGATTTTTCTCAGTCCCCCTAGGCAAATACCCCTTCCACATCTTTCTTCATTATTCATTAATCCTATCACTCGAAACTATATATAGTCTGAGGTGTCAACAGTGTCAGTAAGCAAACCATAAATAAAAGAGGGATTTTTTTTTACTATTTTGAGATAGAATTAAATTTCTATCAATTTTCCTTATTAATGAGGTATAACACATTTGGCTGTAAGTTGTGTGTTGAGTGATACGGATGACAAGTAGGACAGAGAAGCCAGGAATTCATAGATCTTTGGTTAAGAGTGAAAATAATCTAACAAAAGAAAGATGAACACTCCAGTAGGAAGGCAAGATGTCGGAAGGTACTGTAGCATGTATAGCTCTTGCTATGCAACGATCGTGAATACTGTAACAGACTGAGAAGACGCACGTATCATCTACTGATATGTGAAATGTAGTCACAAATTGTGTGTGTGCAATAAATCCGGTCATCAAAACCTGTCTGTAGTCACACATCTACAAATACATGCCATTCAGGTGTCAGAAGTGGTCGGATTGGAAACTGCATTAGATCTTGAGTGTTATACCGCCATACCACAGAAATGGAACAAACAGTGGAACAGATGATGGCACACCTGTTGGCTGAAATAAGAACCAGCAAAACCAAGGCAGACGCCACTCTAAAAGAAATGAAAGAATTGATGGAAAGGGTGGAAGCCAAGATTGAAGCTGAAATAAAAACTAATAGTGAGAAGTTTGAAGTCATTCAAAATACTCTTGTCTCCTGGATGGATGCCCACCATGAGAAGTTGATGGCCATAATGAAAGCCAGTCATGAAATGATTGAAGCCCCGAAGGATGTCAGTCTAAAAGTGAATGAAGCCTTTCTTAAAAGTAAGGAGCCAACCTCATTGGAGTCCATAGCAGTGCATGAGGAGGTCCCTGAAGAAGAGGCCACAGTGTGGGCTGTCAGCAATGAAGAAGCGGCATGGGGACTGGAATCTAGCCGTGTGGTGCCTCCAAAAACCGAAGAAAAGGATCCAGGGTGATGGTGGGTCTTCGTAGAAGTGGGCTGCCGTCTGCAGAGGGATGACCCACCGTGCAGGAGTGGCATGGCGTAAGGGACACAGTCATCAGGGACAAGGCCAGTGCAAGATTGTAAGAAGAGCCTCTAAAGGACAGTCATGCAAGAAGAGTGACTGCATCTTGGAAGCGAGAGGACATCCAGCAGAATCTTCGGGAAAACCATCTGTCTGTAGATTATGAAGTGAACAGTCGATCTTCTGTCAGAATTCGGAAAATGAGAAATCCCTTCTGGAACGAAACAAGAGACCATTAACAACTGATTAAGAATCATGGATGTGGGAGCAATGACCATTCTCGGAAATTTTGTCCGCACCAACCGGAGGAAGATGATGGTGGTAAACCTGGACCAACTGGCATACTGTGAGGGAAGCTCTCAGGACGAGCGGCCTTAAGAAGGGAGCAGCAGGAGCAGTTTGAGAGTGAACACTGTAAAAAACGGAGCCAGGGGAAGAAAGATGAAACCAAGCACAGACGTTGCAAGCGTAGCCCTCGGAAAAGAAATGGCGGCATGCCTTTAGGCTATTTGTGAGAAGCAACGGCTAGTGAAGACTGTAGCAGATTGTCAAGGCATAATATGCCATACAATGATTCGTGAAGTGTATTAACGAAATGTATAAGTGTGCAATAAATCTGATCATCAGTCAAAGACCCATCTATAGTCACACCCCTAAATACGTGACAATACTTAAATTGAATTAAAATTCCGTGACATGATGTCATAGCTTTCAGTCAGAATTAGAGTTTTTCTTGCAGCCATTTAAGGCCTAGTACTACCATTATTATTTCTCCTTTTGCCAGAAATTTTGCTGCAATTATTAATGTCAGTTAATTTTTTCCGTGATTGAAACGTATCTGCATGTTATGCAAATTGCATACCACTTAGTTTTGTTTGGTGGATTAACCCGTGACATAAGGGGAATATTTTTTATTCAGTATTTGACACTTTTATGTCAGAAGGATCTCATGTGTTCAGCATTTTATGTCTAGTCATTTGTGAGCTACCTGTTCAAAGGAGAACAAAGGAATTTCAGTCATTTATACATCTCATTAATTTATTTTAATTAATTTTGTCATATTTATTTGAATGTATTATAAGTTGCAGGAAACTTGCATTCTGTAAAATACTGACAGTTATGTGTCTAATTTTGAGGAAGAATTGTGGGACACATGAAGGGTAAGAATGTATGTCAGTGCCATGTTTAAGAAGTAGCATTAAATCTACCCTTGATTTATAGGGTTGTTAACATTGGGGTTTGCAGTTTAGCTTTCAGATTTGAATATGAAAGTACTGTACTTTTTTTAAGTGAAGGTCTGTAAACAGTTTTGATAATGATATCTTAACTTTTTTCTTAGTTATGCTTCTTAATGCATTGAATACTTACAGGTTTAGTTGCTTTCTATTTACCCAGGAGTGGACGACGGAAATACTTGCATATAGAAATGTCACTGTTTTTAGAAAATCACTCCACCTGCTGGTGAACTTCCAGCTTTTAGGTAGCCAACATATTTTTTGGATGTATGTGTTGGTATATATAGACTTTCTCATTTTACGAGTTTTTTCCTCATGAATAATATACAGTGAAACTGTGTTTGAATGGTCCAGAAATATAGGGAGGTAATATAAACTTTATCACAGAAGTTGTAAAGGAATAAAAGTTATATGCGATGTAGCAGGGAGTGATATTCATGTAGGACTTCAAAATGGGGAAGAGAAAAAGACAATCGCAAGCACAAAGGAAGAATGTTATTAGGATTTTTGTTTTCATTGTCTTTCCATTTTGAGTTTTGTTTACATATGGTATCCTATTTGTATGTGGTCTTATGGGAACTTAGACTTGACTTATGTTGAAGGAACATCGTAAATTATTTGAATTAACAGAAAATATGCTGGGGAAGAATTTTCTTTGCCGATCCTGTTTCTGCGTAAGCTGTCCCACTTATGATGTAGAAAAGGATAACGCTTCAGAACAGTGGTTGCTTATCTACCACATGCTTTAACATTAAGGATTTCTTAATTTTGCCCACACATTGTATTTATGGGTTTCGTGTTTTGGTATGATTATGTTAGTAAGCAGTGATTATTTCCATAAATAGCATTAATTGGTTGATCTTAGTAATAGATATGCAGTGTTATTTCTGTGTGATAGGAATTGAATTTTTAATTATTATTTATGTGAAGGCTTGTGTTGGTTAAGACTTAATTTAAATGAGAGAATTATGTTTTGCTTATATAAATGTATGTTTTTATGAAACAGTTTTATAGAACAGTATTTACATGTGTATATGTAGACATATGGATCTGAAGTGGGGTTATGTCTTTGGATTCCAAGATTGCGTGGTATTTCCATTGTCATACTAGTCATCATAGGTCTGTTCTTGTGGTTATCATACATCTGTTCTTTTGATCAGCAAAGGAATGCCAGTTGTTGAAGGTGATCTTTCTTTTTCCATTTTTTTCCCACATGATTTCTCCATTTTTGTATCATATTTATCAGGTGCACAAATTCCGTTTTGAAATGCACAACAACAGGTATCTTGAAAGACGTTATAAAGATCTGATATTATCTTTTATTAAGCAGTTTGATGGTCTTGAAGGTGAGGTTTGGATCATTTCATTTGTAAAATCTTTGTATGTCATTTCGTTTTAAAGCTCTTGATTTCTGCCTTCTAAATTGCCTTTATATGTTTGCACTGTTTTATGGCAGTATTTTAACAATTTTTCACATGGCTGTTATATGTAAGGACCAGCGAAACATGTCATCTGTTGTTTCTTGTCAGGTACTAGGGCTGTAAATAAGTACAATGCAGTTTCATGTGCATTAACCAACTGCAGACCACTTCTGTATCTTTTATTATTGAAATCCCAAAATTACAAATCTTAAATCATTTTACTCATTAAAGTATACAGGTTTGAGCTTTGAAAGTTAAAAAAAAACTGTCAGGTAGTGTCATATGTTTATGATCTACTGTGATCTGAATATCTGTGTTCTAGTATTGTATATGAGTTTTATATATATTAGTTGAAAGTACAATAAATAGGATTATGTCCAGTGTTTAGTTGTAGACTTTGGAACTGAGAATGACTTTCTGGAAACCTCAGGAACTCACAGGGACTTCAAATCTATTCTGGTTGTCATATGTTGCAGATAACAGTTCAGTGTGCAGTTAGAGTGCAAGGATAGTGTACGTTGTGACATGCAAACCGACTAAAAAAAGTTGATTTTTTATGTAGTGAACTTTTTGGACATTTTTGTGTGACTTCAGTACATTTTACTGACGCTGATAGGTAATGTGGTTTTTAAAGCAAGGGTTGAAATGTGATACATGTAGCCTGTAGTGAGATATAACATGAGTACATTGCACACAAAGAAGTGCTTAGCTATATGTAGATATTTTAAGGATGTCATTTAATATTCTGAATAGGTAGCCATTTGTAGTTGATGTTAATTTTTATAACTTTGGCATTTAATTGACTATTAAAACATACATTAACTTGATAAAGTATTACATAATTCGAATTGTGATGGCGCTAAATATGTATGAATTTATTAATCCAAATAAGGTTATGTGGTATGCTTCAACAAACTTGAAATCAAGTTCAGGATGTCATTTGAAAGCTACACATCTTCAAGCTCTT